GAGAATATTTTTATGCTTAAGGCCTTATGATATCTCTGATTGATACACAATTCCTTTGTATGTACAAAATGCCTTCATTAAAATGAAGTAATTCTCAAGTGTGCACAATCAATAATGAGCTATATTTGATTTTAAGCACTTGCTATCTTGACACATCAACTGTAATAAAAACCAACATTTTACAGTCACATTTGGAAGATCAGCTATCCAATATATATCCATAAATCCATTCTCCTTTGTTTTCATATTTTATAATTAGACTATTATGCAATATTGGTCGTGTTACATGCAACTGAAATTAGTGGGATGTTTTCTCAGGTAGACAATATAGAATTGCAGTGTTAAGAATTTTATTTGATTTCAATTCTCATTCAATAGTGATATTTGATATGGAGTCACAATTGTCATGAATTAAATTTATTTTTTCATTTTTTAAATAAAATTTTGCTATTATTCCATTTACACAAAATGCAGATTAAGTTCATTTTTTTTTACAAAAAGAACATACTACCATGTATTAAAGGTTCCTGAGGTTGTTGAACATGAATGGATTTGAAATCCAGCTGCATCCTTGGTAATGCAAATATTGTTTCAGTCTCATGATTGTAACTGGAACCACCTCTGAAACCACTTAACAAACTGGAGCTTTTCACTGTTGTAGTATGCTCTGTGTTGTTTGCATCAACATTTCTGAGAAGGTTTAATTCTGGAAAGAATAGCAAATAATGTTTTGAGATAACATGTAAATAAACTCATTTAAATAAATGATTCTTTTGAGGCAGTTATTAGTAATATTTCAATTTATGGAAATTACAGGTTACCAAGATTTATATTTCTATACAGAATAAATGTTAAGACATGTAGATGTATTTCATTTTAGGTATGACGACTCTCTTAGATAGTTGTGTGAGTGGGTGTATCTGCATGGCGGGGAGGAGAGAAATGAATAAAATTTAGGTAAGTAAAAAATTAAGTCACATTGTGAACCTTTTAAGTGAATGAAAATTGACAACCTCTACAATATATGGGGATAAAAAAGCAGGAACCCCTACTTCATTGTGCTTGCCATCTTTTATATTTATCTTTTATGTTTAAAAGATTTTATTGTAATTTCTTTGCTTCTTATGAGTGGCCCAGAGTCACTCAGAGTCAGGTGGTATACAAGTTTAATGCATTATTACTATTATTATAATGATTTGTTGCATTGAGGTTTAAATTGGATTTGGCATTTTTGTCCACCTACTGAGTTCTTCCTAAGAATTGTGGATAGGCAGATGCTGTTAATATTATTTTTATACATATCTTTCTGTAAAGTTGAGCACATTCTTTTTATACAATTGCTTCAAGATTTAAACTAAGAAAATTATGAATATTTGAGCATCTTTCCATCACATGCAACTCCTTCATACTATTAATTGGAACTTTTGTAAATTTATGCCAGTTTCCCAAATGACCAATTTATTTGTTCCTACCTTCATTTCGTGTAGCTGTAACATAATTGAACCATTCCTTTACACTTGCAACTCCATGTGGTGGATTTTCATGACGTCTCCTTGTTATTTTAGTAATTGTTGCCATGGGACTTTGCAGGGCACCACATGGTTTTGTTACCATAGTATTGTGACCCAAATGGAAGTCTAGTGTTTGCACAACATATGTAGAATGTTCAGTGGATCCTAGGAAAGGTTGAACATAGCATTTTTTTTAAAAAAAATATTGTTATTTTCTGAAGTCATCACTTCAATGGTCTGCCATTGTATGCACAGTATCCATATTAATCCAAAATTAATCTAAGAGCAAAATATCTCCTCCAAGCACAGTATTGTTTGTGGTCATTGCATATGAGCTCAGTAAATCTCTTGATACCATGGCAAACTCTCATTTTAATAGCCATACAGAATTTTATTAGGTTTAGTATGTAGGTTACAAAAAAATTCAGCCAATGTTTAGTCTTCATTACAACTTAATATGGGAAAAGATAAAACAAAAGGCATACAAATGCCTGAATACCTTCTTGCCATATTTTTTGTGCTTCAGTCCAAAATGCAATATTAGGTTCTTCAAGATGAAACAGAGCCCACGATTTTGAACGAAAATTAGGTCCATGGAAACATGCCAAAGTCATGTGATTTCCATGCAAACTCATAGAGCCTCCAAACTTTCCATCGTCTGGTAAAGGAAACTGAAATAAGGATATGTGGCATCCTGACATCACCTTTAATACTCCTGGCCAGTGGCGATGATGTGCTGCATCTAGTACTAGAAAACAGAGCACACAGACATACAAAGAGGAGGATAATGACATTATGATTAACTTTAGGGATTCAAAAAAATCCTTCTATAAATAATGAATAGGAATTTCATTAATAATTTTTCATTTTTTCTAGACTTCAATGCTTGTGCTTAGGAGAAGGATGAGCAAATAATTGTTCTTATTTTCATCTATGTATAACAACCAGATTTTAAAACTGTCATAGAATCACTATTAAATCCCTGACTTATGACCATTTATTTAACAACCTTTCAAAGTTACAATGGCATTGAAAAAAGTAATTTATGACTGGTTCTTGCACTTATTAGTTGTAGTATCCCCATGGTCACATGATCAAAATTCAAGCATTTGGCAACAAGCATGTATTTACAATGATTGCAGTGTCCAGGGTCACATAATTGCCATTTATAACCTTTATAAGGGACTCCTGACAAATAAAGTCAATGTTGGAAGCCAGGTTCGCTTAATGACCCAATTTGCCTATGTCCACTCTGTCTGCCCTATGACTGCTCTGCACCCTGCTTTGAGGGGTGACAAACAGCCCCAGAACTGCACAGTTACGTGCCATGCCTAGGGAGACTTAGCCATCCCAGCAAACACCAACAAGCATTTGGTTCATCCAGCAGCCTTCTCTTCCAGTTCGTGCATTCACCTTTTCTCCCAGCCACTGTGGCTGAAACAAAAGGGCCTCGCTGTCTCATTTGCAGACCTAAGTTCTATGTGAATGTTTCCTACATGTAGCTCCCCAGACTGACCCAGAAACGCTAGCAAGCATTCATTCACCCAGCTGCCTTTTCTCCTCAGTCTCATGTGGGTCTCCAACGCAGCCCAAATCTGAAGACTGAGCTGACTGTAGAAAGCTGCGTTATCTTTCCAAATATGTTCCAAAAAGTGCAGTTTTCCAAAGACTCGAGCCACATGTAGAAGCCATGAAGTTGGGTCTCCAAAGGAGATAGTAAAGGCAATAAAATGCCTCAACTATAGCGGTTGGCAATTCAAGGCAAAAGGTCAGTGTGGGAAGTGGGAGAGAAAGCTGCTGGGTGAACAAATGATTGCTGGGTGGTGGCCAAGACTTCCCAGGACTAGCAAGCAATCCCAGAGCCATGTTTTTCTCGGGCTGCTTACTACAAGGCAGGGCAGTCACAGGAAGGAGTTGGAAGTAGGCCCTTAGTGTGAGACTTGGAGCTGGGAAGGACCAAACCTGGAATGTCCGGAAATGGCATTGGGTACTCATTTAACCACCCATGATTCTTGGTTAATGATGCAGCGGGGAATGCTGTTGTTAAGACACACGATATCTCATTTTATGTCCACATGGTTCAGTGAAGGAAATTCCAATACCAAGTGTGATCATATGTCAAGGATTACCTGTACTTATTTTTTTGTATAACTTACTATGTTGATACAAGTGTAGATTAAACATTTAGAAGTATTATATGCTTCAAATGGCTTTTGTTTGTGTATGACAAAATGGCTGTAAAAGAAAATGGTGCACGCCTTTTTGTGTCTTTCCATAGTAGGATATACACATTATTATTTTTCAAAATGCTCACTTATAAAATTTTTGCTGAAATTCAGATTTTGAGGCTCAGTGATAATATATCAGCTCATTTTTTTTCAGATAAAGTTTTTATCTAACTCTCTGTCTATCGTTCTAAATATAGATTAGATCATATTTTTATTGCAGTACTCCTTTCTAGCCTGTCTCCAGAGTTATTTAATAAATTCTGGAAAAAAACACTGAAATGCTGCTAAAGAAGATGCTAAAATACAATTTTATCCATGGCTACTAAGGTCATAAAAGAAAAAAGATGTCATTCATATTCTCCTGCCATCATAGTATCAACAGCAGCCAAATGGAGTCTGGGCTCAAACATTAGGCAGGCCAGTAATATTTTGGTGTATGGTCCTGAAAGATAAAAGCTTCATGATATGAAAGAAATTGATTTCATACATACACTGCTGTGAACATTTTTCTACATTGCTGACAACAGTTTTGGAAGGAAAGTATGGAACAGGTCCCCATGTGGACAAAGCTCGCTTGCTTGTATCAAACTGCTGAGTAAAGAATTCCTGGAGCTTCATTCCTATTTTGATGAGATCTGGTGTAGTTGATCTGGAAATCATCACTTGAAAAATATCCCATTTCAAATCACCATGGACAAATATCTCACTGGAATATATAAATAATAATATTTTCCATGAATTTATAATGCTTTATTAAACTTTGAAGAAAAGATAACTAATTCAAAAATGTTTAATGATAATTTGATTAAAATGGTTTGAAATAATAAAAGCAGATTATATACAATAGATCTAGCAAAAAAAATATCCTTTACCTCTTCTCAGTAATGCTGGAATCCAAAGTATTATAGAGATTAATTTTCCACTCATCCTGCAGCTTAAGATCTGCATTACTGAAAATGCCCATTAGAATACTAGACCCCATGTAATCCACACGAGCTTCAGTAGAGCCCATGGTAATCTGAATTTTGTGATTTGGTTGCTGGTTGGGATGTTCTGAAATATGAGCTGAAAAACATATATCAGTTTAATAGCAAAGGGAAACAGTGAGATATTATACTTTGGCTCTCATCACTAGTCTCCAATTAATATCACAATGCCTCTAAGCTCTCTCTCTCTTTCTGTATTAGTGCACATAGAGACACACAAATAATGTTGAAAATGTCCAGAAAATGCTGTCAACAATTAGTGGTTACTCAATTTAAACAAGTCTAAGTCTGACCTGGTGTGATGAGAGGTAATGAATAGATGCTAATTTTTCAGTTTAAACAAATACAATTAGATGATGTCTTCACTATATTCACTATATAAAAATAACTAATCGTCAAAAAATACTGGCTAATTTTCAACTTACCCACCATCTCCAAGGCATTAACATCTATGGTACCACCAACCACTCCTCCTCTAGAATCCAAATGTGATCTTCCCAGTCCAACTGACATACTAATTTCGCGATCCCTGTTACTGCCCACAGATAAACGACCCTGGCTTTTCAGACCACTGGTAGTCCACCTAAATCATGCATAGAAATATGAAAATATCATTTATCTTATTTGTCCATTTACATGCAAAAATGCAAGTTATAAAATGCATTTAACAAATAGATGTGTATGGTAGTACAGACACAATTCACTTGATCTCATTTAACAAAACAAGATGGGAACAAATTTTCAAATTTTTGATGATAAAAATATTAATGGGCCATCTCTAACTATATTATCACCTAATATAATAGTAAGATAAGAACAAAGATAAGAGTATTTAGATAACTCTGCAACTAATCAATGTCTTCAACAGTTTATTTTCAAGGAAGTCTCTGTTCAAAGTCCTCCAATTCTATGCAACTTAACTTGAAATGAAAGTTGATGCTTCCTGAATCAAAAAGTATTCTTCAAGAGCATGCACACATACTCTTACATGTTTAAAAAAATATTTGGAATATACAGAAAAATTGAATGGTTAATTAAAAAGGTTTTCTTACGTGGTATTTCCCATCACATTGCTCATATTCATTTGTACATTTAATTGTTTCAAGTTCATAGCAAATACCACCAGTGTTTCCCATGGTGTCACTTGCTGACTTCCAGCTTTATTTGATTTATTAAATGGAGTTGATGTTTTTGACAGATCTGGAATTAAACACAAAGCAAATACTGTAAATGTAACACTGCAAAGTATTACTGACAAAAATCAAATATTAATACCACTCTGCAGATTTTGCTGGGAAATACATCAGAATAATCAAGTCCAAATAAGAACTTGCATACTGCTTGACTCTTTACTTCCTTTCCATCTGTTTGCACATAATAGTGTTATGATATATAATCTAGGGAGAAGATTTGTACTTTGTGAATGTTTGAGAACTTTTTTCTCAGTGAATAACAATTTTACATGATAGTTGTCACAACTGGTTGAGTTTTTAAATATCGGAGATTGTTAAACCTAAATGTTATCTAAATGTTTTCAACAGTGATTGTCAGAAAATATATGGGATACAAATGTGAACTTTGTATATTCTAAAATTTCTGAAGTTTACCTTTCAGCTCTAATAATTAAAAAAGCAAAGTTTTTTTACAGCTGAATAATTATATTTTGTTTAACTAACAAAAAACAGAATAGAACATTTGAGCAATTGAACTGGGATTACTGAAATTTTCCTTTTCCAAATCATCAAAGTTTGATAAAATAAACACTTTTATTGTTTTTTCCTTTCTATAAACTATTGAAAATTTAAGCTCTGTTCCATCCTGTGTTGCCTGCTTAAATTTTCAATCCTTCAGTGGACTTCCTCTATTTCAATTCTCCATTCAATTCCAGGATACAGTATTCCTCAACCCTTAGAGATGAAATAAGAACGTGTTCTCCAGGCAGACAAGCACACTTGAATAGAAATGTTTTCGTATGTTTTCATTTTCCTTGTATTACATAAGTGTGTGTTTAAAATGCATAAAGCTCATTAAGTGAATTGTTGTATCAAATTAGTTTCTTCTCACTTTGTAAGACAATACAGGACAATTTTGTGTATATCAGTACACTTTGTAGCACAATAAACAAGTTAATGGAAAAGAAAATCATTCGGTTTTGTTTGAAGAAAAATCATAAATCAGAGCAATTTTGGGGTAATATTATAAACTGCATCCTTTTAGATTCAATGACAGTATTCTAATTATAATAGAGTCAATCCATTTCAGTGCTTTACAAGACAAATGATTAACTGTTGGCGACTACTTTTATAGATGTATGATCAGTTGACTATATTACACAGTGGTGTGTTATTCAAAGTAGTGAAATTAAGCTTCTTTTCACCTTTCTGAGGGACTGAAGAATCTGATACACTTCTGGATCTTGAAACAGCAGGGGATTTTAGGTTATGAGACACTGTTCCAGAGGCCATATTACTATTGGTACTGTGCTCGTTGAAAACACTTGGTGATTGAGCCATATGGGTAAATGAAACAGACTGACTTGGTTGCTCCCAGGTCCTACAATATGCTTTTCTTGATGAGTCAGGCGACATGTGCTGGTTCATTCCTTCAACAGAATCTGGGGTCCCAGGACCTGATGTTACTAGGAACACATATAACAAAATAAATGGTTTGTTTAGCTCAGGGGTGTTAAACTGCTGGCCCACGGGCCGGTTTCATCATACTGAAGCTGTGCCCATCCCATTGCCGGCAATGGCAAAACTGGCCTGATACGTTGCGCAACGTCACATGACGTCGCGAGTTTGACATGTCTGGTTTAGCTTGTTATTAATTCAGCACAGATCTATCAAGATTATTACAATATGCTAAGCTCCAATGTCACCTCGTTATTTATTGAGAGACTAGGGGATTCTTTGTTTAAAAACAATTTAAAACCAGCTAGTTTAAGGGAATCAAGGGAGAGACATTCATACAGCTTTTAAACACAAACATTTTAAATCCATTTGCTACCCCGCAAATGGCATTTCTAACACCAAGTGGAAAACTAATATGTTTTCAACGTCAATCAATCACAGTAAGATTATTATGAAAAAAAAATCTTCTTTTGACTATTTACCTGGCATATTTATTGTTTGGTCACCTAGAAAAAGGCGTCTTGCAATGCTCCTTCTGTACCATGCTCTTGGAAATGCTAGAATCTCACTCAGTCTCCTCATGTCATATTTAAAAGAAGCAGATCCTATATCACAAACAGCTAGAAGAATATTATAAAAAATCTGTTTATATTTTACATTTCACATTATTTTATTCATTCTTGTAACATCTGTCATTCATAAACCAAAACCAAGTATTTAATAAATTATAATGAATACACTCAAAATTGAGATAATTAATTTGATTTAGATTGTATCAGCATCCTTTACATCAATCAAACTGACTCGGATTGCTATAGTTTAATTCAGCACAACATAGAGAGGGCTACAGATTCTCCCACCCAGGATCAAGGTTATCGATATTTGTTTGCTTATATGATTTGTAACCTGCTGCAACCAATTTGACGACAGCTATTGTAGATTGCAAATGTACATTTCATTTTTCAGAATAAATTCGTCTATATTATATATTTTTAATCTCTTCTTTTTTTAGCATTGTAGCACCAAACTCTAGGCTTACTGCAGTAATAGCCAACTCAAAAATGTTTGTATTCCTCCAATATATTTAATATTAAAACTGCTTGCTACAAGAGAGCAATTACTGGCACAATTTTATTATCTCATCTCAAAAAAAGAATTAAGGAAAATGTAAATAGATGTTGAAAAATAACAATATATCAAAGGCTTGATTTAGTATTATGGTGAGCCAGACCCATACATACTTAAAAGGCTTTTAAATTATACAAATGTAAGTTCACAGTGGTATCAGTTTTGTTTGCAAGTTCAAAAAGTGATATTCTTTCACATGCTTGAGGGAAGAAGGAAGGAAGGAAGGAAGCAGTTGTGGTATTCATGTTTTATCAAATATTTCCCAGATGATCTGCCTATTATTTTGATTATGCAGGTAATCTTCACTTACTGGTGGTAATTGGAGCTGGGAACTCCATTGCTAAATGTCATGATCATAAGGCACAATGTGATGTGATCATGCCAATTTACAACAAAATTTCCAGCAGTCCAAGTTGCAAATCCCATGCAACCATAGCATCGTGCAGTCATATGATCACGATTTGTGACCTTCTACCAGCTTTCCTGTTGACTGTTCACTGGAAGCAGCAGAGACATCACAAATGGTGATCTTGTGGTCAAGGGATGCTGTGATGGCATAATTATGAGCCAGTACTCAAATTAAAATCATGTGACTGCAGGAATTTGTGCTGGTTACAACTACCCTCCCTCATTCAGTGTTGTCATAAATTTGATCAGTCACTGAATGAGAGGACATTAATCAAGGACTTATTGGCTGTAGAGAGCTATGACAAGGTCAAGAAAGATCATCTGTTTAGTGGAAAAAATATATCTAATTTTATAATTAGCTTAAAATGTAATTATGCAACATCCATTCAAAAGACCTACAAGTTCTACAATATCACAGGAGAAAAAAATTGCAAGCTTGATACTGTTACATGTAATGCAGTAGTATTTTCTATGCTGCACTGAGTTTAGATGATATGATTGATAAATACCAGATATGTTTATTAATGTAGTCTCCATCTTATTGGCAGATTTGCTTGCAGAGAGGGTTTCAAAAAAGGTAGCACCTCCTGAACGCCTTATTCTTGACAGGCTAACTTTTACAAACTCAAGGTTGATGCTCAATGAATCTTTGCGACCAGTAACTGATGAAGGTTCTTCATCTATATTCCCTGAAACCATGAACAACATAATTGCTTTTTTAGCTTAATCTAAATGGGTGAAACCTATTCTCACATAATGTCTGAATACGTTGCGCTTTGCACAAAAGTGTGCGTAAACTTTGGCTGGTATAAAATATGGTGAATAAATTATTGCTTGCTATATCGTGTAATAATTTTAACAGTTTCTAAACAAACGAACAAAGGAAATTTTTACTGCATTTACTGTATGAATGCCTTACTACATAGATGTACTCTGAGATATGAATACAAAACTTATTTTTAAGATACATTCATACATATTTAAATCAGAACAAAATCCTTTTTAAAGGCTTATCTAAAAAGTAAAAAAATCACCAATACATTTCTATGAACCACACTATTCTCTATTACCTGTTCCAGAAGATAAGCCACCCACAGTGGTTTTTTGCTTTCCTGCTCCATACGGATGAAATACATAAAGGGAAAAATCAGACATGCAGGCTGTGAAACTCAAACCCGAAGAGCTGTTGCTAGAACCTGTCAAATCTGATTGGCTGCTACTATGCCGTGTTCTGCCAAAAGAGCTGCCTAATCCAAGAGAAGAACCTAAAACAGAAAAAGAAATGTATTCTAGAAAAATCATAAAGATCAGCCAGGGTACATTCCTTGGAAAGACAAATAGAAACATATTTTGATGAGACTCGTGCAGTCATGCATTATTAGAGATGAGAACTCATAGTAGTATAAATCTGAATTCTTCTGGAAACATTCTTACAAATTATTTATTTTTTATTATTTTTATTTATTCATTTCTATCCTAACTTTATCATTTTACAAATAACTCAAGGCAGCAAATATGTCCAACACATCCTCCTTGTGTCTTCCCTATAACAAAAACCCTGTGAGGTGGGTTGGGCTGAGTGACCAGCCCAAATTGACCCAGCTGGATTTCATGGCTAGGGTGGACTTGAACTCATGATCTTCCACTTTCTAGCCTAGTGCCTTAATCACTAGACCAAACTGGTATTGGACAAGCTTTCAGCATTATTCCATGAATGGCTTAATCAACGCACCCAAAGCACTGCTTTTCCCTCCTACTGGTCACATTATAAGATCTGATAAAGAAGTCTCTTTCTGCAGCCTGATATGGATAAATCCTAGATTATTTGAAATGTTTAAGATTTTTTATGTGTCAGCTGTCCTCCAGCTAAATTAATTAAGTGGGGTGAGAGTGGGAGTACAATGTAGTCTAATTTATTATTATAGTCACTGACCAGAATGTCATACTAGGCTAAGCTCAAAAGGAGTTTGGTAAATTGATAATAGAGCTCAGATATCACATTAAACCATTATTTAGTGTCAGGTTTACAAAACAAGCAATTATGTCTGAAAGTTTACAATTTGTATTAATCATTTAGGGAAACAAGTCAACTTCAAACTTTTAATTCTAGTTTGATCTAAATCAAAGTTAATACTAGCCACTGGTTTTGTTAAGGCATAATCATGGTTGTTAAGCACACATTTTAATTTCTGTCTTTTGAGAGCACCAGAAGACCCACAATTTATTCTTACAGGATTAAACTGTTATTTTATATTAAACCTGAATACACCTCTAAAAAGAACCGAAACTGTTTTTCAATAAAAATGATTTTACCTGGCGAGATAGTTTTAATTGGCATCTTTGATCCACTTTGTAAAGAATTTTCTGTAGGGCCAGTCGAACCTAAAGTTTCTAATTCTCCTCGATTAGAAGAAAATACAAGATCAAGGGAAGGAAGTTTCAACATGCATTCCACCCGTGACACAGGTAAGCAGCTGAACTTGATTTGTGAAGGCTGAAGAAAAGAAAAATGGTGTTTACCTTACATGGAGAATTGAAATGACAAGAAAGCAACAAGTAACACAACAATTTTAAAGATGCAATACTATTAAAAAATTTTAATGCGAGAAATAAATAATGTGTGACTATCTAGATGTTATTTAATTCAAGTCTAAATAACTTCATTCCTGGGTCTATTAAGTTGGGCTGATAGATTATAAATTGGAATTCAAGAACAACAGAAGGGACATAAAGTATCCTAAGATTTAGAAAATAATTGTCTTCAAATGATGACCTAGTGTCAGAAATAAGGAAAGTAACATATTGTTACCTCTGCAGAACATTTAGAACAAGATTTTTTGGGGCCCATAAAAGCTGTATTAAGAAATTCTAAGAAGAAGTCTGACACTGAAGAAAACTACACATGGAACACAAGAAGAGTATAGAGAAAAATTATATTATTAAATACATCAAATGGAATTTAGTACATCTTTGCTAATACAAGTATCAGCCCTAGTTTCACATTTCCTGGCTCTGTGTAGTTTGAGTCAATAAGCTGCAAACATCTTAGAACTGAATTTTAATTTGTGCCATCTGATTAGACTGCTGAGTCTGGAATACAAGCAAGCAATATTCAATTTTATGCTGCCAAACTATAGGCAGATCAATATGTCTCAGCTTAACCCACTTTCATGAAGTTGTGAAACCAAATGTTGCTTTAGATTCCATGGAAAAAGTTAGAATACAATATCTAAACTCATAATATAGTTTATATTATCAGACAGTGAAATATTTAAAGCAAAATATGCTCTACAAATAAATACTTTTCTTTACAAGGTATCAATGATATTTCTCATATAAAATGAAATAGAAACTATAGAATAAATGAAAAAAGTCCCAATTTAAAATAGAATTCATTATTTTAGCATTTGAAAAACAAAATATTTCTGTGTACAAATAAATCTGGCCAATTTACAACAGCCTTGAAGGTATTACTTAAGTTGATATCCATGCTCACCTGAACTCTTACATATACCACTACATCAACAGGGAAAGAAGAATATGCTGATGTTGATGAAGATACTAAGGAAGCTGTGGATTCTTCTAAAGGATCTTGCATATCAAATTGACCAATATCTTCATCTTGTGAACTGATGGCTTTAAAACAATAAGGAAGTGATTACATATAAATTCTCCAAAATAAAAATCAGGATATAAAAATTATGGTAGAGAAATATGATACCTGTATAATTCCTTTCTATTGGAGTTATAGGTATTGTTTCCAGGGCCTTTTCTAGAAAGTCTAATAGGCAAGGGCTAATCACCATTTCTTCAGGCAAAGATTGAAGTGCAACCCAAGCATACAATTTTGCTGTTTTTATGCCACCACTTCCTTTACCTTTGGCTGAAAATTTGAAAAATAAAGTGAAACACCAGATCACAAATGTCAAATAGAACACAAATAAAAAAGTAAGAAAAGTTAATGGTAGCTCAAAAGTGAGGTTACCTTAACTTAATTCCTGAGATATTTTTCCTTAAGTTAATAATGTATCTCTGGCTAATCCAATAGATCTCAGCATTTTTATAGAGAATTGAGATTGATTTAAATCATCCATAAATTTGCAGTTTAATAAAGCTTCTAATTTTATAATCAGAATGACTAAAATAGATCACTTTCAAAAACTTAAAATGAAATTTCCATTCCTGTATTTAAACATTTTTGTAAATTGAAACATTGGTACTTCCTGCGACAGAACACTCTAGTGTGGATTAACTCTGCTAATTATCCAAGAAAAGCAAAAAAAAAAAAGAGATATGTTTATAGCAGCTGTACTGCTAATTATTAATTCTCTAGTTTCATCTTGTGACCAACTGTGGGTAGGAAAAGTGGTCTAACTTAAACAAATAAGGATGCTGAATGTACCTATACAGCAGGGGTGTCAAACTCAATTTCATTGAGGGCCGCATCAGCATTGCGGTTGCCCTCGGGGGGGCAAAGTGGGTGCGGCCTACTGGGTGGGCATGGATGGAGTGGGTGTGGCCTACTGGATGGGCGTGGCCAGCTCTACATCGTTCACATCGTGGGGGCCTGGGCAGGAGTGGGACAGATTTGCGCCACCCAGCTCAGCTCTTGGCGCTGTGAGGGGAGCGCCCCACTGCCTGCCAAAACTGTGCAGGCTGGGAGCTGGGCAGCCTCGTGCTTCTTTTTGGATTTGCGCCGCCTGGCTCAGCCTCTCGGCGCTGTGAGGAGAGTGCCCCGCTGCCTGCCGAAACCCCTCCCTCGGAGCTCATCAAGCCAGATATGTGAAGTAGGTGAGGGCCATTTGCTGGCCACTTCCAAGTGATGTGCATTTCTTCATTCCTCACAAAGGGTGACACCTCCCCAGCATGCACCCAGGGGGCAGGGCTGACGTGGCAGGGGTTGGTTCCTCGCTGTTTCCAGACAGCCTTGTGGACTAAATACGTTTCAGCATAGATGGCCACCACAAAATTGTACATTGGCTCCCGGCTGGCCTGGGCCAGGGCCAAGGCAGTGGGGGCCATTCCCTCACTGTTTCCAGGATGGCTTCGCGGGCCACATGAAACCACTTTGCGGGCCGTATCCGGTCCCCAGGCCTTGTGTTTGACATGTCTGCTATACAGAGTGGAATGAATGGGTACATTCAGACATTATGGCAAACCAGGCTAAGGCTTGCCTGGAATTGCCCTGAGTTATATCACCTGCCATTTCCTATATATGGTATCACCCCATAGAAGGCATGTGCATGAAGTTATGCCTCAGTTTTTAATCTGATCTTGTTTGATCAAGATCATTATTGGATTCTTTTAGTTAAAACTATGAGATTTTGGATACAAACTAGAACAACACATGGTTCCTTTGGTTTGTTCTGGTAAAACCATCATCTTATAAAAAGGTTTGTCTTAAGTGACATATCAAGTGACAGTATTACAATCTGCTCAAAAGAATGCATGGGGTAAAGCAACAGATACAATCCAACATGTTCCTAACTAAAGCACATGCCCAACTTGCCACATTGTCTGAGCATGTTCAGCATATGCCAAGTATCCTATAAATAAGTATGTAACTCAAATGCTTTTCTCATGCTAAGCCCCCCCAAAAAACACCTTCGTGGTCAATGCTTTTCCCCCCCATTCTTCATTTAGTTTGAAGGAAACATCAAAACAAAGTTGAGTAACCCATGGAAAATATAGTCTGCCTGCAGCACTAGTATCCCAAGATTGTGTAACCAATATTTGTTGAAGTAGGTAAATTTTGGCAGTGTGTTTTTGGAATAATTTTTTGGGTTAAGGGATTAAGAGTGGGAATGGATGTAACTTGTCTCCTAAAGATTTCCCAAGGCGTGTCAACTATTTATCATTTTTCACATTCAAGGGGGATGAATTAAGAGTGGCAATGGAAAAAAATTGCAAAGCACTTCCATTCCCATCCTTTAGCCTTCTAAAATGATGGAAGATGTATGAGTTACATGCTTCTAAGTAATCTCTGCAAATGTAGTTCATCATGAACTACACCATGAAAACAGTTAAGGTATCAGTAGATAATGACATAATTTATTCATGCCTGCGGTTTTCCAGAGATTATTTTGCATCTCCATTTTTTAAATCGAATCTACTGTCTAAAATAGCTTCTCTATTATCCAAATTGCAGGAAAATGTAGTCAGAATTCAAATAGCTAGGTATTCTTTGGATCAGGAGTTCCCAACCCCCGGCACCGGGCCACGGCATGCCAGCAACTGGGCCACACAAACAAGCAAAGCCCCATCCGCAGGATGCAGGCAGCACACGAAACCACGCCTCCTCTGGTTCACGGAAAAATCTTTCTCCATAGAATCGGTCCCTGGTGCCCAAAAGATTGGGGCCTCTGTTTTAGAACTTGAGTGATTTTTAGGCAAAAAGTAGGCTATCTTAGCATGAATAAATAGATAGATGTGTCATAGGTTTTGCATGCAGACCTACTAAGCAATCACATTCTTTCGTGAGCCTTGCCATTTGATAATTTAAGGTAACAATACACTGAATCCTTAAGATGATGTTTTGCACAAAAAATGAATAATATATTACAACTGGTACTTGTCCTCTCCTTGATGCACTCCCACCCTATTTCCACTACCAAAAAGGTTGCTGTTCTTCTGTAGGATCACTTGTACAGCTGTGGATGGTTATATAGTTGCAGTAATCAGTTTCTGTCTGATTCCCAACCACATCTATTTTTGCACTATGGTATGCTCCGCTGCTCCTAAGACACATTCTATATAGGTATCTCTTAAATACATTTTCTCTACATGACAATCTCATGTTGGACAGAATTAAGGGGAAAAAATGAAATATATACAGCATATGAAATAGACTGAAACTCTAAATACAAATATTTAACAATTGTATGATAAGAGGGGTATTTGGGGTTCTCTGAGCTTGGCTGTTTTTTGCAGACGTTTCATTACCCAAACTAGGTAACATCATCAGTGCTAGTAAGAAGTGGGGCTTCCCCTGAGTTTATATGTTCGTGGAAATGGTCTTGGAGGTTCTTTGGTTTGGATGTTTACTGTTGGCTTGTTTAGCAATTCCTTGATTGCAGTATTTTTTACTTGATGGTATGATAATATTTCATTTAGCTATATGATTTAGTATTTAGATTTACAATCTTGTTTATATTATAGGGCATAACTGACTTATTGATTGATCTTGTTGATATAAATCAATTTGCCTTCTCATTCATAGATTTTCTAAAAATCACGTACATTTAATAGTTGCTTGTATATTTTACATTAAATACATAATGATTGATGAAACTACACTTAAAAGATGTTTATAAAATACAAATAAAATGAATTAAATTAACTAGCAAAAACCAAGAATGTTCAAAGCTTTAACAACTGAGGAACAATTTTAAAAGCTGTACAACTAAACCATACAGTTTCTAAGTATAAAGTTATCTTAACGTTTTTTTCTAAAAGTGTCAATAAATGGTGACTATTCAGTTTCACTGAGGAGATATTCTACAATTAGGGCTGAAATAAAAAAGAGTTTTCTATGAATTCATGCCTTCCAAGTAATTGGATTTCAGCTTGATTATTCCTTAACCATTATGGTACCTAAACAAGCTGGTTGAAGATCATTGTACTTATAATTTTAAAAAATATTTAGGTTATCAGTCTGGGAAAGTTGTTTTATATTACTGATCGAAAGGGATCCAAAAATCTAGTCATATAGCTGAAATAAGGTTTTCATTATAAAACGTGTATATGCTTAGATACACAATTCTGAAATTAAGGATTTCAATTTAACATTCTACACTAAGGATAACTGATTTCTTGTACTCCACATATAATGGATTTCATGCATACTTAGGAATTGTGAAAATTGTCCAAATTTTATTTTTAGTTTCCCCAAACATTGACACATTAACGCAGCAGATGTAGTGAGCGCAAAAACAGACCAAAGAATATAAGAGAAACCATTTATAATAGTTGATAACGTAATATTTAACAAAGGGAAAAACTAGTAAGAAAATAATCAAAAGTACAATTTTTATGTAGAAAAATTATGCCCTAAAATGTATCACATCAAACAGAACAGTTTATTAAGCTACAAATACTGATCTAAATATTGAATTCTACATTATGGCAAAAGATCACTAAAGTCAAAAGACAAACAATGAAAAGAGAAATGTTTACCTGATGGAATAGGTGGGGGTTGAGGAGTTAGTAAGGTTTTAGCCTTGATACGAGTAGGAGGAATGGTGTCTTTCATACTATACAATTTTGATTCTTTGGAAAAGGTTCTTTGAAGAGATGAGCCTCGAGATGTATTTGGCGACTCAGTTTTTAACATCTTAGAGTTGTAATGTAGCTAAAACAAGATAAAATTAAATTAAAATCATAGGTTTTTGCATAGCCAAACTGCTATGGGGGGGGGAAGACAAGGAGTATTATAAAGAAGACAAGAGCATAAATCACAAATAACACTTTGACTGAAATTATCAAAGTAATTGAAAATACAGGGTCTGGTGGAATTTTGATGGGTTGATGCTCTGCAAGGATCCCAGTTAGATAAAAAATGTTCTGGAAAATTAGTTTTCGTAGAGGTAGCCTATCAGTATATGATGTACAGTTATTCCTTGCTATGCTGGAACTACTGTATTAAATAAGTTATAAAATGTTTAAAACTATCTGACTGGATTTAATTAAGCTATTTTATTTGTAAATATTGTTAAATATGTTTTTAATGTGAAATGTATATTAAATGTATATTAATGTATATTAAGCCCTCAAGACATGGCTTTTCCATCAAGCGGGATTGGCCTAGGGGGGGGATTGTATAGGGATTTTAATAGGGATTTTATAACTTTTCTAAAAATAACAGGCTTATTTAATATATATTTTAATTGTTTTTAGATATTTATTGTATAGTTCCGTTTTTATTGCCTGTAAGCCGCCCTGAGTCCTTCGGGAGAAGGGCGGGANAGGACAAGAAAGGAGATCTCGTTACACAAAATATATTTAGATGTAATAAACCCTTTGTTTATTTTCTTCATCAGCAACTTAATAACACGAATCACTTTTAAAATATAGATCTTGTTGGCATAGTATGTCACACCTGTCGCACTCTCATTTCTTTATCCTAGCCTTTAATTGTCTAGGAAAAAGCCTTAAGGTTTTCTATAACATATACAATGTTTATCAGCCCTTTTTACTATTGGACCAGTTGGCTAAATTTTCTTTCTCTTTTCTTCAAAATGTTACTGCCACAAAATTCCTGATGCCTCCCTATCTGAAATCCTATTCATTATGTATGCAAATACACTGGATTTGGCAGTATATTTGACGAATAAGTTTGAGGTAAATCAGTGTGCCACACTGATTGGATGTGCCACACATCCAAACTGGATGCAGCACATATGTACAAGTACTATACTATCTCTAATACAGGGGTAAACAAGAAGAGAGAGATAGAGAGAAGGATTAAAAATTATAGCTGGCAACATAGCAGGAACTCTTGTAACGATTGACAGTGCCACTCATCTGTCAGATTGGCAATGTGGCACTGATTTCCTCAAACTTATTTTTCAAATAATTACTCATCCAATCTTATTAGTATTTCCAAAAATAAAAGTATTGTAGAATTCCCTTGCTTCCAGATTTGTTCAATTTGATATTAAAATGCTTTTTTTTTAATTATGAAGACAACAAAGTAGATATGCCACATAATGAATCATACATTCTTCATTGAACTGAGGCTCTCTAAATTAGCCTTAATGCTTATCTGTAATAACATTAGATTTCCTAGCATATTTACAGGCTTCAAAGCAATAGCTACTGTACATTACATGATAGGCTCCGGAAAGTGATGTGAAACTGAAATTCTATTTTATCACACTATATGAAGGAAATATCAAACTTTTTATTTTTACCTTAACATCTACACCAGGAATGTAAAATATTGTTGTTTCCACATCACTAGTCTTTGTTTGAAGAGATGCTGGTACTTTCTTTCCAGCCAGTAAGTGGGTAGTTGATGCATAGTTAGTTTGAAATTTCCTTTTTTTAGAGGGAGAGTCTTGATCTAAACTTCGGGAACTGCGATCATAGGTCCTAAGAGATATATATAAATAGACCCACTCATTACCCTGAGCATAAAGGCAATATTAAGTTATTTTGAAAGTTCTAAATAGTCACTGTTAGTCAAACTCACTGATATCACCTCAGAGAACTGAGAACAGAAATATTTGGCATGATTTGATTATGCTCTAGCTTACATTTGGCTTAAGGCTCTCAGGCACACAGCATAGTAGGCAAGAATCTTTATCAGCTAGGAAGAAGGGAGCGTAGTAGCTCACGTGGTTTGGACATTGGGTTGGAGGTTAGCAAGCCCACGCTTGAGACTCAAGTGCTGCTACATGGCAGGGAGAACTCCTGTCATTTATTCCAGCTCCTTGATATGAAAGGAGCCCCCATGGACATCCATCCTGGCATCGGTGATATCACCGGCTAATCCTTTCAACCCAGAAGCACCTTAAATGGTGCCCTCTAGCACGAATGGGGAATTAGGAAGAAGCCATTAAAGCATTAGATTGTCCTCTATCAACAGTCCAATTCATTTTTAATGTACACTTTTTAAAAAATTCCAACACTTATTTCTCCCACACTTCTCACCACTTAATAGATTTTTTACTCTGTTTTCAGCCTTGAAGATGGAGAGCTTTTGATGGTTGATATAAATGACACCCCTGTCCTGAGAAAATCTCTCAACTTTCACAAAAATAACACAAAAGTGTGGTTTATCTATGTGATTCAGTGGGATTAGCTGTATATTTTCTCTAGTTTTTTGCATCACTCAAGAGTCTACTGGAATTGGACAGCCTGTAAATTTAAAGGTAAGATAAAATGAGATAAGGGTTTGTTCCAGATTTCCATAAGTAAACTTTTAAAAGAGCAAAATATTTCTCCTTCTGCTGTCTACCAGAAAGTCATCCCTACATCATTGGGGAACCTTCCAAAACTAATATGAGAGGTTATGTAGAGGTGGGAGAAGAGAATCTCTTCCATGGCTAGAGTCTATTTGTTAAATGGTACAAATTCTTTGACTTCTGTAAGTGCATTATTGTACTTGTATATTTATAATATTTTTAATTGCATTTAACAATTTATATCCTCTGGCATCTTATTCAGTCTTCCATTCATTCATTCAGAAATGCTAGATGTTTACTGAATTAACAGTAATAATGTATAAGACCTCAGACAAGTTGCTTAAGTTTGATCTGATTAAACAAGATTTAAGTAGGCCAGCATTTCCCAAAAAGTATGTTCCATTGCGCAGTACCGGTTTTATAAAGACATACAATTGTACACAATGTAAAAGATAATCATAAATCCTTTTATACCTAATTATGAATATTTTACATGCAATTTAAATACGATGCACCATTTTGACTACACAATTTGTATGTCAAAGTTACTGATACAAAAAGGGGACATTCTTCAAGTTGTCAAATCGTCTTTATATGGAACATCGCAACTGAATTGCTGATCGGTATCACTAGAGATTTCATACAAGTTTCAACATATAAAAAATGTTGCTACTGCTCTAAACATAGTTTGGTAAACCTGCTCAGCTTTTTGCAGGATATTTACCTCCTTAAGCTTATGTCATCATGTTCTTGCTGGAGTGTTGTTGGATGGAGTACACACTTCCCACTGTCAATTTCAACTCTCACATCAAGTTCAAAGTCAATATTCCTCTCAGTAGTTGTTCCAGTTACACTTCTGTTGGCTGGAGATGTTGGCCAACGTTCAGTAAACAGTTGGTGAACAGCAGCAAAACCTGTAGCTTTCTTACGAGTAGTCCTGCAAAATATTTTTTAAAAGTAGGTTTGACAAACTTACTTTACTGCATGCAATTTGTTAAAATATATTTCCCTTGGTATTTTTAACACTGTAGAGGAGTTCAATAGTCAAACTATCTGAGATAGCCAGTATTTTATTTTCACTGAAAGTGGCTATGGAGGTTCTGTATTGGGCAAGTCTATTACAATGAGGAAGGAGGAATTAGATATTTGTCTCATTTTCTCACTAAAATACATTTAGCCTTTGAGAACAAAATCCACAAAGGTACAATGGGAATTTTCAGTGGAGTTTTTTCTCTTCATAGATCTTGGGAGGGAACCAAAACTAGTCAAAATAGCTGCTTAAAAAGAAATTAAAAGAATTTATTCACAGTGTTCTTACACTATTTACACTTTAAACCTACACTAAAAAAACCCATTTATGCAGCTATAAAGCAGCTCTGATTAAATGTTACTGTATCAGCATATAATGTTTTAAGAAATATTCCAGACGCTCATTCCATTCAAAGTGACTAGCAAATTACCAACAAATGCTATACTTCCATAGCTAAAAACCAGAATAGGAAGTGCAAATGAAAATGTTGAGTTCCTATAATGTTGGTGCTATATTGTTATTTAATGAGATATAGAACAATTTTTATGTGGAATTTATGAATAATTTATTATTTGCCATCTATCAAGTCAGATCTGTAATGCACTAGTTACCTGCCATCATACTTAGATAGAAATGAAACTTTCAGGCTACTTCAAATTGGCAAGGTTTGAACGTGACATCCTAAACATCCAAAGATGTGTCAAATATTGAGTTACTTGATAGTCCTTTCCAAGAGTTATGGTTATTTTCTGCCATAGGCACTTGCATTTAGTATTTTTTTGTTAGCTCTGCTAGTCAAATTAAATATCCTGCCATAAAGAGTTCAGACCAAATATTGTATAGAGAAAGCCGGAGTTCTTTTTATATTCATCAATATGCACATATTCAGAGTGGTTATACTGAAATGAATGTTCTGTTTTTATAAATATGCTCACAATGCTTTCCGATAAACATATGGCCTCTCTCTGTCATGATCTTCCTCTTTTTCTGAATCCTCACTTGATGAAGACAAGCTGTCATCTCGTCTTCCTTCTTCAGGCTGGAAAGGAATGCTTGGTGAGAAGACAGCTGGAGTTTGGGGTGAACTGAATACTGAGCATGATCCTTCACTAGTGTTTGAGTTATGGGATAGACCATCAACAGTTACTGACAAAAGATCCAATTCTGTCTCCTCTGGAAACTGATTACAAAGAGACAAAAAAGATATTCAAGTTATAGCTACCAACTATCTCAAGGATTGGGGAGGAAAAATCAGATTCTTAAAGGCAAAAGCAGTAAATGTTTCATTTTGTACAGGCCAAAGAACTGATGTCAGCCATGAAATATGTTTTTAAAATAGATGAGTGAGTAACCTTGAAGAAGTATGTCAGAAAAAGGAAGTGAATGCATGTTATTTAGATACAGCAGCAGCTTAGATTGCAATATATCCTACTATAATAACTGAAATAAACATTTTAAAGCATAAAAAGCAAGAACCCTACAGGCCTCCAATAAATGAGAGAAAGTAGCAGAAATGATTAGAAAATGGAAGCTCATGCAAAATGCTGGCATAGAATACACTCGATTATCTCCTTTTAAAGCAGTACATATGATTAATTTTAAAAGCTAGATTTTTAAGACAGTAATGTTCTGAGGGGAATTTCTGGAATATTATTTTGATTCTGAATAAATTAAGATGTAAATCTTCAGGTTTCAAGTAAATCTAAGATATCGGTAGGTGTGGAAAAACCTTAAGGTTTGCAAAGGCCCAACTTTTTAAAAAATAGTTTTAGAAAAATAGCCCCAAAGAAGTGGTGTGGTAAAATGCTCAGTAAGTATGGAATGATAAAAAAAAACCTATGAAAAAAAAATTAAGGATGGAAAGGGGAATAGAATGGAGATAAATGTTTTTGGAAAAAACATGGCTGTCGCCTGTCTTTTCCAATTGGTGCCCATTACCTGCAGCACTGCTGCTCTCTGCGCTTCACGTGAAAAGATTGTTCATTGTAAAGAAATGTTTAAATTAATGTTGACCCAACTTTAACTGAAACTAGAAGAAATTTATATCTTTATGCTTGTCCAGATAGGAAACTTTGGAGGCTGTGTCACTTATCAGTGAAAGCTTGGGGATAGATAACCTCTTTGGTTCTAAGGATCACAAATGATTTGGGGTGACTATTCAGGAGCCTTTTATTTGTGTATATGTTCATATACAGGCATACCAAAGCACTAAAGTAAACCCTTCTTGTATCGCAAAGACCATCTCCGGCTCTCAGCAATATCAGTGCAGAGATTGGCAGAGAAAAGCTATTAAAGTCTATTTCATAATTTACCATGTGTTGTAGACATTGCCAATTTTCAGAAAGCACTGTTTTATCACCATGTGACTAGGGAAGTCTCTCCCTGAATAAATTCAATTATCAGATAACCGTCGCAATGAAAAACTCATTTGATCTATACAGAAACAGATCCTTTCAAGAAATTGGTAATGACAGCTTGGTAATGAAAGAAATTTGCCTCCCCCTGTTGGGTAAGGCATGAATAGGAGGTAACACATGGGAAAGGAGGATTATGGGAATCAGAGTGGTACAAAGAGCTACTTCAAAGATTGTGTAAGGCAACAGTGTCCAACAGGAAACTACAGCATGCCCATTGCTACATGTCATCCTTTTCTACACTTGTTGCTCTTGTTATATTGAAGCTTTATTTGGGAGCATGCTCTTCATACATAAAATATTATTAATACCTATGTTAATATATTTAGGTCATGCTGCTAAAATCTGCCTGCCAAAAAAGAGTAATTTTTATTTGTGTTTTGTATCTGTACACTTTTGCATTTACACGTGCACACATGCATATACACAGAGACAAAGATTTATGTCCACTGCATCTGAAATCAATACTGGAGTTCCCTGTCCAATAAATATGTAAACATGACATATTTGTCTATCTCTGTACACATCTGCACGCATACACACACACAAATACACACAAATTCAGCCTTCTGTTGGTAGTCACAATCTACAATTGGGTGGGGGCCAGCACAAAGAAGGAAATTTACTGAAGCTAATGTTTAAAATGATCTATAAACTAAGGCCGGTAGCAACTATGGTTTCACGCATACATTTACTCTTCTATACATTGAAACATACTACATACAAAAACATTATCCTATCCTTCTTTCATCAGAAACAGCAACTATGAAGAAAAAGGTCACTAGAGGTAGGTTAAAGGAAAGAGGGAACCTTGGTAGGAAGGGAAGGGGAGGAAACTGGAGAGTAATATTGGTTAAAGGTGTGGGAAGAGTTAATTGAATGGTAACCTTAGGAAAATGTTAAATTCTTTAGGATAGCAGGCCTCTCCCAAGGATTATTAATTTATTTATACTTCAAAAATAATTTTCATAACTCGCATCATCAGTGGCTTGCATTTTCACTCATTCATGCATCTTTTGTTCCTTCTCTCCAATGCATAGGAAAGTATTTGGGAGAAGAAACTCCCTCTTTCTCTCAAGAAATATGGTATTTTTAGATTTTTTTAAATAAAATCTATGATTTGGGTTCAAAGAAAATAATCACATAGTCCGATTTTCCCC